GAGCGGGGCAGAGAGCTCGGCCCCTGACCATCACTGCTGTGTCACAGCCCCTGTGTTTGGGGGTATCCCCCAGACCGAGACGGGGCTGCGAGGCAGAGAGAATGGGGATGGAGGAGCTGCTGGGTCGAGAAGATGCTGGGGAATGACCCCAACAGCGTGCGCTCTCCATGGCCTCGCCATCAGAGGAGGCTGGGGAGATGCGACTCTCTCTGGAGGAGCATGAGCCCATGCAGGGTGCGAGGTCAGCGACACAGGGGCTGCCCCAGGACCTGCCCTCCCCTGGAGACACCGGGTCCCTCCATGCTCAGACGAGACCTGCAACCGTGTCCTCCACCACACAACCTCATGCCCACCACTGCCTGACCCCCGGGGAGCCCACGCAGGGACCCGCGTGGGGACATGGTTCAGCAGCTTCACCCAGAGCCAACAGCAACAGTTCACTTTCAGGTAATGTGACAGGAAGGTGAGGTCTTACCTGCTGACGGACCTCGTCCCATAGTCATCGAGACCCTGCAGAGAGGAGGGAGGAAGCACAATGAGAGATGGGGGACATGGGGCTGAGCCTGTTCAGGTGCCACCAGAGGGTCACACCAACAGACCAAATTGCATTGGAACCCGGGGCCAATGCATTTGGAGTGGAAAGGGAGAGATGGAGGTGATTCGAATGGGATTTAGGCAGCAGGGAGTGAAGTGGCACCACTCTCTTCAGAGCAGGACTTTATCTGGCAAGCCAAGGGAAAGCAACAGGCGGGAGAGCCCCGGTCTGCTCTGCCCAGCCCCACCGTGGTGCAAAGCTCCAGTTGCTTTCGAGATGTGAGACACTTGAAAAGGGATTGAACAAGTCACCAGTGAAATGCTCTGTGGAAGGTGTTTGTCTGTATTAACTCCCACCAGAAACCCACAGGGGTTTGGACCATTTTCTCCTTCAGCTGGTACTGAACAGCCTGTACAGCAGGGAAGGACTGCACTGGTCTGAGGAGCAGATGTACCTGATGTAGGATGTACCCTGAGGACATTGCTCCTCAGGTAGGGGCTTGCCCTGGGATATGACTATGGAGCAGCTCTGCTCTCCAGGCCAAACACAGGACCACCGCAGGAAGGAGCAGGAATCACTGGCCATACACTGTGGATCAACGACCCATATTCCCATGGTCCCAGGAGTGCTCCCAAACACAAAACCCCAAATCCATCAGCAAATCCTGCTGGGAAACCCCAGCAAACATCAAGAAATGGGGCTGCAGAGAGGACCAGACCCCCCTGGATCTGCTGGCTCTCCAGCGCATCCTGGTGAAGGGTTGAGTGCTGCATGGCTGCCTCTCTCCCTCCTCATCCTCACCTCATCTGCTGGTATGTGCCAAGTGCTCTAGGGAATCCAAGGTGTCTCATCTTCATTGTTCCGGTGGGGAAGCCCCACTATGCCAGTGGCTCCTGGGTAAAGCTGATCTCATCCATGTGTGCATCCTCCCATCTCATTATCTTAGAAGCCCTGAGCTCATTTTGGACACCACCAGAGCCCTGGCTGGGGTCTGCCCCAGCCCCACGTGCTCAGTCCAGCATCCCCACGGGACCATCACCAGCTTGGCTTGGCTTGTGCCAGAGAAAACGCTTCCAGCTGCCTGTGAACAGCCTGTTTCTGGTGGGAGGCTCCCATGGAGTCAGCAAGTGTTGTCCTTTGGGGGTTTACGGTGGCATTTTGTGCCATTTGCTCCCTGTGCCTTGCCCGTTCTGCCCAGGCGAGCCAAACTGGCTGGGCGTCCCCATCCCCTGCCCTC